CTAGGGCCGTACTTGTGTATGCAATTTACTCATGTAGGTGCCATGGCCTACCTAGTACCAGTTTGTGCTGTCAAGATTCATTGGGACTAGCCTACTCCAAGTCACTCCGTATGAATTTGTAGAAAGCGATATGGGTGGGTATATCCATGACAAGTCTGCAAAACAAATGTACATTATATATATGCTTGTTCCAATCTCCGTCAGACATGACGACTCACTTTCTGGCCATTGTCAATGATGCTCTCGATTCATTTTGGGGCACACTGGCTGATCCGAGTTGTGACCTTGTACACCCTGCCTCTGCAGTGTGCCTTGGCAGTCGTACCCGAGAAATAGCAGTGTGTTTTTTTTTGCGAGGTCGAATCTAGCAGGGTAAATGTTTTGAAAACACTGCCTAGCAAAAACCTTTGGGTTCCCCAGTTGATCCTGCCATGATCGAACCTGGGTCTTTTCGGCTCGATTGAAAGTGGTTTTCCTCAACAGACAGAGACGGTGGTCGTGCGTAAGTGCGTGGTTGTTGAGGTTTTAGTGGTGCGAGTTGGGGAGATGAGAGTCCTGTCAGTGGGTCTTCCAGGTGCGGTCACTAGCGATAACGCACCAGTCTCTGTGCTAGAGCTGTATCTCTGGTTTTTCAAGGACTTCGCCGATTCTGGAATTTTAACAAACGCTACTGAACACATTTCAGTCACGAACGCCACTCACTGAGCTAGAGCAAATCTTTGCTGCTTCAGTACTTAGCGGATTCTGGAAATTTCACTCACAAACGCTACCAGACACATTTCGCCTTAGGGGAAAAAGTTTGCAGGGTGTCTGCCGTATCGAGCCGGGAAACGGCAGTGTGGCACATAAGAGTTAACAGCATTTGCAGGGTTTGTTATTAGCCCTGCCTGACGATGACAAGGTGGACACCCAGCCAAACCCAAGTCTAGCAGTGCAGGTCCGAAATTTAACCATGAAATGCAGGGCAAAAAGGGTAAAACGCCCTGCAGTCCTGAGCCCTGATTGTCATATCATAAATGTTGACGCCAGGTGAAACAAGTGAACTCGATGACCTGCCGCCTGGTGCGGTCTGCTCCTCGGGCGTGTCTGCAGTGGTCACAAGCAAGCCTCCGTTCTCTGCCGTACCGTGGTTGAAAATGACACCCTGCATGCAGACGATGCAGTGGTTCCAGATTTGTTACGCAATCGAAGAATGAGATATACCAGGTGCTCGTTTGAGTCATACTATCTCTTGTGCAGAGATTTGTTTGCCAGCACCACTACGGGCACAATGAACGTTGTAAATCTCGAATCGTAATGCACATTTTTGTTAAGCTTGCATTTGCAAAATGAGATATACCTGTGGAAAAGGCGCAGGTCTTATGAATAAATACCCTCTCGTAACACCTTCACCTATCTCAATCGTTTGTAGACCTTAAAAGGATCAAGGGCTTTATCCCTGTCAGCTCGCGCATTAGGAAACTCTAAAAAAATCGGTCACCTTGGAAAGTTGACAATCCCATCATTTCAACCCAATTCAGGTTTATATAGCGAGTAAAAAGGTGTAAACCAATGCAGAATCCCGACGATCTGACACATAGTCTCAATTGTTAGCACAATGTGTCACTTGTGAATCATGGCAGGCATCATAGACCCATGGCACCGACTATCTTCACACGGTACAGTAACCCCACCCACAAACACAACCGTCACGCACACCCCCCACCCCTCCCCGCCCCCGCACCCACTCTCCCCGCCTCTCGGCGTTCGCTACTGTAGTTGTTTCCCGTCTTGTACGACAATTGCTTGGCTTTTCGAGTTCCGTTCGGGTCCATGCCACCTCAGGAGGGTTGGTTGTCGTGCACCTCGCAAATTATGCGGCGAAATGAGGAAACACGCAATGAGAATTGTCTTTCTTACAGAGCTAAGGCGTGCTCACCCTTCTTACAGAGCTAGGCGTGCTCACCCTTCTTACAGAGCTAGGCGTGCTCACCCTTCTTCTGACCTCTTACCTAAACTCCCTGTTTCGAAGTAATCGCTTCTTTCTGATCCATGAACACTGCTTTCTATCTTCGGCCTTGGCAAAAAATTGGAGGAAATCCTGGGAGGTGTTTTCGGCGAATCAGAGAAGCTCTGTATGAAATCCTAGGAGTTGTACAAATGATGCTCGTTTGACTAACACAAGTTTGCCTTGTAAAGGAGGCTTTTAAGTGATTCTAGTAATTTCGCAAATTTCGTCAGCGGCGCACCTAGCAAAAAAGGGCTTTTAAAACAATTGTAACTCTCCGTTGACTTTTTGACTTCAGTCTCTTCAGATATTCTTTGGTTTCTGTGGTTACTATTGGTTCATAGCCAATGCAACTTGCTCGGGGTGCTTGTATCGTGGGTGCAGCTGGCTGGCGCAAAATACACGGGTGTAGACTTTCTGGCGCGTCGAGAGCAAATTCGCGCGCAGCAGTTGAGCAACATGTGTACCTGCTGCAGCAGCAACTCTCCTTTGCAGCCTTCACAGATATCACATTACTGGACGTCAATATCTCCCATTGATACTTCATTTAGCCCAATCACGACACCGCTCAGCACAGCACACGACTAGAAACGACAATGGGGTATTCAAGCATTTTCTATTCGCAGGTTCGCCGCCTGTCATCATGACGTGTGGTATCTTAATTCAAGCTACTCCGCCTACTTAGGAAAACATTCGTTTGCTATCAAACGGTTATTTCCACTCACAGCCAGCTCGGCGTTCGCTTCGGCGCATTTCTATATTTATCATCGCTTTTACTCAGTAGCGCCAGACACGCAGACTATCAAACGAAAATGCTTTCAGCTGTTCCCGTCACGATCATGGCGGACGATCACAAGCTTAGAGCCCCTCCACCCGTCAGAGCCGCCTTTTATCCCAGCAGTTTCTCCGTCGACTCCGCCGCCTCTATTAGCACTACCGACACGGCGTACCCCGAAGCAATGCCTCCAAGTCAGGCGGCTGAGCCGCGCAAACTGACGCTCAATCCGCGCCACCACCCGCAGCTGCTTCTCGAGCTCAATCGTCTCCAACAAGAAATCGAGGCGCGCGGTGGCCACGCCGTTCTCGAATTCACTGCCGCTACGAGTAATGAGATGCTGTCCAGCGGTAGAGAACAGGCGACTCAGCATCGGATGCCCTTATCGCCAGATAGTCCACCTGCTGCTCTTGATACTTCTCCCGGCGCTACGGCAGCAGCTCCTCCTGCTGCGGCGTGGACTATCGGCGGTAGTCCGAGCACCAGTCTACTACTACCGCCGAAGTCGCCGGCGGGGCTTTGGAAAGGGCAGTGGCAGTCGCAGCGACCGCGTCAGCTCGTCAGACCGCCGTCCGTTCCAGCGCGGCTTGACAGCATGATGACGCAGCCGGCTCGTTACACCGTGGGCCACGGCGACGGTTGCCGTCAGTTTCGTAGCAATTTTTATCCTTCTTCTCAAAGTACCTCCGCCGCGCCGCGGATGCGCATCGAGTCGCCCCGAAGCGGCCCGCAAGTCACGACGATCAGTAGCAGCGAATCAGTGTCTGAAATGGATAATAACGCCCCCGAGAGAACCGGCATCGCACGCGGCGGCGCAGTCAGTCCTCCGAGCCGGCCGTCTCGCGGCGTTGCGAATCATTCCCACGCCGCCATTTCGACGCAATGGCGTATGAATGGACGACCTTTCCGCTCGTCGTCAAACATAGATTTGCCCGACATTGATTTCGCCAGCTCTGATGATACTACTACTGCAATGAGTAGTACTCGGAGCGCCAATACCGTATTGAGGGCAACGGCTGCTAGCGGCGCTAGCGGCGCTGCTGCTGCTTCCAGTCCTCCTGCTCTGCTGCCCGGGTCGCCAGCTGCGCCTCGCAGATATGCTCAGCGCGTGTTCGTCCAAACTCGGGATTTCGAATGCGTGCGAAGTCCGCGAACTTCGCAGCCGCCGCCAGGTGGCATCGCTTCGCCTCGCGGAGAGCATCGCCTTAACGATAAATCGAGTCCCAGCAGCAGCAACACCTCGCACAATTTCAGGGATCACAGCAGGAGCCACTCAAAACAGGGTTTCCCGTCGCCTTCCATGATGCACGGTGAAGCAGCGAGAGGAACGGTGCGTGTCTCTCACAGGAGCGCTAAGTCCCATGGTTGGGACTACGGGGTGTGTGATCAAACATCGACTACTAACGGTTTCCCGGGAACCCCAGAAAATAAGAAACTCGCGGGCGCTGTGCAATGGCGAAGCGCGTCAGTTGCTGGCGACACAAGCTCAACGGATTGTCGCGAAGGCTTTCGCAGCAGAGGAGCTCCCTCACCCTCTTCCAAGCAAAACATGAAGCTCGTGCATGCGAACTCCAACGGCGAAACCTGGGGAGAAGGGACCACATCACCAGCCACCAATAATGGCCCCACAGTTCCAGCTCCCTCCCCACGTCAGCCTATCAACCACAGCATATCTGGATGCAGCTTCGGCCAGAAAGCAGATTCTGTGTCCTGCTCGCCACGTCAGCTGCAGCTGCGAGAGCGCATTTTGGGCATCCGATACAGTTGCGTGAGGGATAAGTTCCACATCAGCAAGGAGAAGATCGGCGAGGGAGGTAGCGGCGAAATCAGGAAATGCCTGGAATGGAGTACTGGAGCAGTGTTCGCTTGCAAGACGATTACCAAATCCAATATTAAGGTAAGGAACGATAAACTAATTTGCAATGCAAGGTGCTCCTTGTGAAATCAATTGTTTACTTCCTCACGATTCCAATTTGACAGATTGTTCCTCCCTTCATCTTATCATCTGTGTGATTTTTCATGCAGACAAGAAGTGAGGTATCTGATTTGCGGACAGAAGTTCTCCTCATGGACCTTCTAAAATCGCATCGAGGAGTTGTGCAAGTGCACGAAGTATTTGAGGACGAGAAGGTACGTGTAATTGCGTCTCCCGCTATATTTAGTTCGTGCTACACTTCCTGCACTTCCACATCCTATGTACAAGCACCACATTTCACAAGTACCCTCATTTGCACAAAGATGTGGTGTCGGTCTCCTCTTCACTGGCCCATCTCCTCCACCCTTCAACTCCCTCTCATCCAGGCCGTCCATCTCGTCATGGAACTATGCAACGGCGGCGATCTCTTTGACTTCATACAAAGCGCCCCCAATCGCCGTCTCAATGAGCGGCACGCGGCATCCGTGATGAGACAGCTGCTGGGAGCCCTCCACCACTGCCACTCCCTCGGTGTGCTTCACCGCGACGTGAAGCCCGAAAATATCCTCCTGTGCGACCGGATTTCTCGACAATCAGGCAACGGGGAGGTGGAGATCAAGCTCAGTGACTTCGGAGTGGCTGGTTTTCTCGATGATGGTAAAGACAAAAACGGTCATATATTCTCGTTCCTATTCTCCTCGGATCCAGCACATGTGTGTACCCATTCTGACATTTTCCCCCCAAACCACCCACTTCTCGGTTTCAGACGGTGTATGCACGGACACCACAGGCACATCAGAGTACATGGCACCAGAGGTGGCCATGAAAGCACCCTACAACGCCAAGGCGGACATCTGGAGCGCGGGCGTCGTGCTGCACGCCATGCTAGCTGGCGCCCTCCCCTCCTGGGCGGCACTACCAGATCTGTTCAGCGAGCAAGCTGGAAGCACGGGTGGCAGTAGCAGGAGGGGGAAGGGGAAACAGCAGGAGGGGAAGTCGATGCAGGAGGGTATTGCAAGGGATGAGCTGACTCTGAAGAGCCGGGTATGGAGGGGTGTGTCTGGGGAGGCTAAGGATCTGCTGAGAGCCTTGCTGAGGAAGGACCCGGAAGAGAGGCCCTCGGCTCTGGAGGCATTGGGTGAGTGCTGTTCTCAAAATGTTGTTGGGTGGATGCGGTGCTAAAGCGGGTGGGGGTGCTTACAGAATGCTAGGTGTAGATGATAGCATGCTAGGTTCCGTTGCTGACGTGGGTGGTCACCACGAGGTCTTGCTAGTCCGGATAGTTATTTTGTATTGCTGCTCGCGCTCACCATTGTGTGCTTATGCTTCCGCATCTCTCAATTTTCTCCTTTGCCAGTCCTTGGCTGCTTGATGATGATGCCGTACTTCAGTGCAACTGGTTTTTTTATTATTTCTTTCTTTCATTTTTCTTTTTTTTGCCGTGGAACATCTGGGGTGAAATGGTTACCGGTTTTATGATGGTAGTGCTCCTACATAAATGACACCTCAGAGAACCTCCCTCTGTTTTTGCTTCGACGCAGGTCATCCATGGTTAACCAGCACGACATGGTGCCAAAAGTTGGAGAGTAATGAAGCAGTTAACTGAAGACCATGATCCTGGGAGGACGAGATTGCGTCCCAGCTAGCTGCAGTGGGCGTTAGAGTAGCGCCCAGCAAGACTGGCGGGGAAAGCAGCAGCACCGACGACGACGACGACACAAGAGCAAGGACGGGCGGCATTCCGGGATCGACCAATCACCGCGTGCCGCGTCAGCAGTGTACGCGTCACAGGGGGGCAGCATGGGGACCACGTCAGTGTTTGAGCGGAGCCGGCCGGAGTATACAGGTTCGCTGTCCGACCTGCTCAGTGATCATGGGAGGGCGAGCAGTGGAGGGAGTGTGGGTTGGGCATCTGGAGTGGCCAGGCTATTGGGGCTTGCGAGGGGGCTAACGCAGATGCTCAACATTCAAGGCGATCAGCACGCGAGCTGAGCGGGGAGATTTCGCGTTTAACAAAGCTTCCCTTTGTGATGGCAGTCAGTGGAAGGCGGAAGGCCGGGAGAGGCGGAGGGGGGGTTGGAGGCTCAAATCAAAGCCGGCCAGGCCAAGGGCCAGGCTCAAGGCCGGGTAACCGACGCTGTCTTGCATTCTGTGCGGCCTGCCAATCTGTGCTGGGGAGTTTCAAGCCAAGACGTCAGGGGCTTGCGCTTAGGAAGGTTGAATTGGTATGCTCGGACATGCATGGGGATTAGCATTGGCTGACTGGCGCCCGTGGGGTAGTTTTGGGAGCTGGGAGGAGTCAATAGGGCATGCTCTCTCTATAAATGATGGGCTAGAGATGTTTGAGGCGGCTCAAAAGTTTTGAGGCGCCTCAAGAGCCGGGAGGAGTCATTAGGGCACGCTCTCTCTCCTTTGATGATGGGCGAAGGATAGGGAGTAGTTTGCAAGCTGTTCACAGGCAGGGTGCATGGAAGGGTGAATGGAAGGGTGAGAGGAAGCTTCGAGGGAAGGTCCATTGACTGGCTAGGGGAAGGCACTGGTTAGCAGACCGCAGGGGTATGGTTCCGTGATGGGCCGATGCAGCAGTCAGCTCTGGGCCTGCTTTTGAGGCGCTTCACATAAAAATCAGTCAGGGCATGCCATTGGCACAGGAATGAGACTGTCTGAGTGGGCCGGAGCATGTTTCTTATTACCCCTAATAATCAGATTAGCTTGGGGGGTTCTGACTAATAGCTGCGGTTATTAGGGTTGTGCATATGAAGGGGGTTGTGGGGGGGTTGGAGGGGGGGTAGAGGGGGAGGGGAAGGGGGAGGGAGGGTGGGGAGGGAGGGGAAGGGGGAGGGGGGGGTGGGGAGGGAGGGGAAGGGGAAGAGGGTGGGCAGGGTGGAGGGTGAGAGGGTGGAGGGCAAGAGGGTGGGGGGGAGGATGTGAGGGAGGGAGGGTGGAGGTATAAGGCTAGTGATGTCAAAATATTGTGCATAGTTATTGTTGGAAACAACTAATTCTAAGCGCCTCTATCGTGTCGAAACACCAAGGCACAAGCGAAGCACAACATATCGCAGCATCAGCGTGTCAACCCTCGGAGGTTGAGCAACTGCTGGAGGTTACGCGAAAGTCAAAGTTCAGCGACCTTTGACCTGACAAGTACAGCGCGACAGCAAGGACACACAACTGACTCGTTACATAGCAGTTGCCCGAGTCGTCACTGTATCGAACCGCAACAGCAACAGTAAAGCAGTTATAACTGTATCCCTTTGTATTCCTTGTACTCTTATATAACCCTGTACCGTATGGCCCCGGATATAAGCGCAGGCCTATTAATCAATCTACTTTGCCCTCACATACTAACGCAAGGTGGTTCACAACTCTTCATTAAACACTTCCGCTATTACATCAGTCCTACCCAGAGTTTGTTGGGCTAAGTGACCCTTAGGATCTTTGGTAGGGTCAAACTCTGGGTAGAGTGTTGTAGTAGCGGAAGCGTTTTAAGTGAAGTCCTTGAACCACCTTGCGCTAGTATGTGAGGGCAAAGCAAGTTGATTAAAACAAGCAAGTACAAAGGTTTATATGAGAGTACAAAGAATACGAAGAGATATAATTAAACTGTTTTGATGTTGCAGTTCGATACAGTGCGACTCGGGCAACTGCTCAATGTCGAGTCAGTTGTGTGTCCTTGCTGTCGCGCTGCATTTGTCAAGTCAAAGGTCGCTGACCTTTGACTTTCGTGTAACCTCCAGCGGTTACTTCAACCTCCGAGGGTTGACTCGTTGGTGCCTCGATATGCTCTGCTTCGCTTGTGCCTTGGTGTTTCGACACGACAGAGGCGCTTAAGATTGTTTGTTCCCAACAGAGTTCACCCCTGCAAAGATCCTAAGGGCTTTTTTCAGCCCAACATGGTATGAGAGCTATCAGGGGGAATTCAACTATCAAAACACCTACAACATCAGAAGACATGGCTACTCAGAAGGAAAGGAGTTCCTCTATTGGTTCTCCCGGCACTACTCCTACTCCACCTCCTGCCTCTGGCCTATAGACAGCGGAGGGTACGGCAACAAGACCCAGGGCAACATCAACCGAGACTCCTGCGAATCAACCTGCAGGCTTCGACCAGAGCATGATGCAGAAATTTTTCTCCTTCATGTCCTTCTACGAGCAACACCAGCAATCGGTACCTGCGCAGTCACACAATAGCAACAACAACAACGACGTGACTCCAATGAGCCTTGACGGTTCATCCTACGCACGTGGAAATCAATAGCAGCAACCTACCTTTGCTTCGTACGAGCCCCAGCGCGGCTCCGTCAGCTTTATGCCACAACCGCAGCCTGCACCTGGAAAGAAGAAACCACTGGACGCACTTCAAGTCCAGTCGCAGTTCGCGCACGTTTTAAAACTCCAGACGTCAAGGCCTTTCGACGGAAAGGACTTCTTCACCTGGTCGTTCGAGTTCGAGTTAATGATGGAAGGCTTGCAGATTCTTGGCTTCTTCGACAGATCCCTGCCATACCCAACAAACGGCACACAGTACGAGAAGCAGCAGTACACCTATCAGCCAATGATGGCGTATACGATTCTACTGAGGAACATCACCCCGAACCAGCATCAGAATATACGGTCTTACCGGGGATACGGCAACTCCGCCGAACTCGCATACAACCACTTGAACAGCCTGTATCAAGCAACAGACAGCATTAATCAGAGTCGGCTAATGGCGCAATTGACAACAGTGGAAATGAAACCAGGCGAAAAGGGAATAGTGTATATCCGCCGCTGTCGCTAGCTGCGTGACAAACTCCTTCGATGCGGAGGGTCGATATCTGAAGACGCCTTCGTGACAGTCATCATCGGTGGCCTCGGCCCTCAATGGCGCGCCACAAAGGCCATTCTCCGAGCTCATGGGAGAATCTCTGAGGCAGCACTCTGCACTGAAATACACGCCGAGCAACAAGACATGGACCTGCAAGAGGAACGGCACAAGAAGAAAGCATAAGTACCCGAATTCGCGTTTCACACTCAGCGACGCTACAACAACAACAACAACCGACAACAACCAAAGCCCGTACCTCCGTTTTGCCATCTCTGCAAGACGTCAGGACACCCGTGCACACACTGCCCGAATCGACAACAGTCAACACCGCCACAACGACAGCTTCGAACCTCAAGCAGTCAAGTCGCCTCCATGCAAACGAGCCCCACAAGTCAACTACAGTCTTCAACGACATCGCCGTCAACACAATCTGCACAAGGAACAAGAAATATCGTTAGCTACATGGCAAGATTGTCAGACTCCTGCGTCACCGAGTCACTGCCACACTACTCACCGGAAGAACAACTCGACAACACCACACCTCGCCGCGAGTCACTTCAACTGAATCCAACATACGCAGCCATCGCCCAGAGCGAGCCATCTGGGAAAGTCACCTGGTTCTTGGACAGTTGCTGCGGACAGCACATGTGCTCCTCAGGACGCTTCGTGCAGCAAGAGTACCAACTCCAACGCGAAGTAGTCATCACCGTCGCCAACAACCAAAACCTGCGCACACGACGACAAGGCATGGTTCAACTTCAGTCAAGAGAGACAAACGTTATACTACAGATGTCAAAGGTATTAATTGCGGATGGACTCGGCTACAACTTACTGAGCGTCAGCCAGTTGATGGCAAAAGGCATTCATCTCGAAGCAAACAGCACCACCCAAGAGTTCAAGTTGTACCAGGGGAGAGGAGGTCTCTACATCGGCAAATCAGTCTTGAAGAACAATGTCTTCGTTCTCGACTTCGTTCCAGACCTCGGCACCGCCGACAGCGACGGCATCGTCACCTTCACCTCTTGGACACATCCACCGGATCTTGACCCAGACTTCAGCCCCGGCGGTTTCTGGTATTCACACACGATACCTGAAGCGGAAAGAACAAGAGCGTTAGCGACAATTCAACATTCAGCAGTAGCAGAAACAACATCGGCAGCAGCAGAGACAACATCGGCAGCAGCAGAGACAACATCAGCAGCAGCAGAAACAACATCGGCAGCAGCGGAGACAACAATGGCAGCAGCAGAGATAACGGAGACAACAGCGGCAACATCAACACCAATCGCTTGTCCTTCAACGGCACCGATCTTCGTCGACGACACACCACCGACACCCGCGAAGCAACTGAACCCAGCACCACGAGAAGTTGATC